ATATATATATATATATATATATACTTGTATTGTTAAGTAAGAAATTATAATATTGATGTCACTGTTGGTGTTTACGTTCTTCTGAGGTACATTTCGACCTCCATCCAGTCCCATTAGCGGCTAAAAGCATCAACGGAATCTGAAACTGACGTTCTTGTACTCCTAGTTCGTATTCGTTACCCCGGTTTCCACAGTCAATGACTTCACCGCGTTACGTTGAAGTTGGAGAACGGTGGAGGACGATGTCGTGCTTCGAGTGTACTATCCTTCGTCGAGAATGAAAGAGAGAGGATGAGAGAAAGAGAATGAGAGAGGAGAGAAGGAAAGAGAAGAAAGAGGAAAGGAGGAGGAGGGAGAGAGAAAGAGAAAGAGAGAGCTTTTCCTACGCGACGCTCGCAACGAGGTATGTATGCGCGTATCGGGGAGAAGAGAGAAAAGAAAGGAAAGAAGAAAGGAAAGAAGCAAAAGAGTAAAAGAGAGGGATATGTGCGAGCTATTCCTGTACGCAACGAGTCGCAAGCGGCATAATAACGCCATGTTGTTGCTTAGCACAGTGAACTCTCCTGACGGGTAAATTCATGGTGAGATATGTCTACGCGAGATCGGATGACCGAAATATTTTCCTAATATTTTCGAGAACACGTCTTTCTTCTTCACAGATTTCTCATACTCGGTTCTACAAATGTAAGATTAACTTTAATCTCGGTTCAATTTATTCTTTATCTCTTTATAAGTCTAAGAATTAAAAAAAGATAAAAAAAAGATAAATTGAACCGAGATTAAAATTGATTTTACATTTATGGAACCGGAAACTTAATCTTCCGGAATTGACGGTGGATCTATTGGATTTACTCCATTGTAATCCAAGCAAAACAATAAGTTATTACGATGTCAAAATGATGTCAAAATGATCATTACAAGTCATTTTTCAATCATTTCCTATTCATTTTAATGCTATTTTGACGTTATCGTGACTTATTGTTCTGCTTGAGAAAGCTCTTTGTCAAAAATATCAACTGATTTAATTTTCTTTATGTTACATATGTCACGCAAATTTGGATTATCTTATTATATAAATATACTTGTTAGCTAGTATTCATTTTTTTTGTTATTTTGAGTCTCTAAAATTAATTAGTGCCTTTAAATTAGAATAAATTAGATGGATCTTGCAGGTTCATTACTGTGTTACAAATTTTGACGTCAGCTCCGGAAGATTGAACAATTCTTCGATTGTTGAGGTACATAATCTTGAGATAGATAATCTTAGTTGTATTCTTTCTCTTGGAGGAGAAGAGAGATTGATTTAGGATATTTGAGCACATGGAGGATGTACGTATTTGTCGATGCTATCAAAAAGTGCCATTAGGCAATATAATTGACTCGACAAAAGCGATACAGTCAGCTCTAAATGTTATTATTACGATATCCGCTACGTATATCATTGCTATCGTCACGCTTCTCGGAATACCGTGGGCGACGTTAGTTTACGACCCACAATCTAAAGCCGACCTTTTTCCCAACTAAAGTAGGAAATCGAGGCGAGGATAACTTTTTTATTATAAACATTGTCAACAAATCACACAAATCTAATAAAATTCGGATTATTTTTCCGAGTTCTAGCTTTGAATAAATTAATTAGGATCATCGTTGTTCTCAATATTTTTGCTTTTGGATACATTATTTCATTACATGTTTGCATGTAATAAAATTACATGCAAATATGTGATGAAATAATGTATCCAATCATTCGAATCAAAAAGCTTCTTTTGGATTCTTTCAATAGAAAGAATCATTCGTTTCTTTCTATTGAAAGAATCCAAAAGAAGCTTTTCTCCTGCGTTTATTATGCGTGGCTCTCGTATTTCTAGGAAATACATGTAGTATATATAACGTAGATATATTATATCAAGTAAAATTTTCTTCGAAGAGGACGTTTTGGAATGCAGTCCTGTATTGCAAACGTGTAAAAAATGATTTAAAAAATGTGTGTTATTTGTATAGTTGTCCGTGTAAAAATGGCTCTATACATATTTAAATGTGTAAATCCACATTTGTATGCAGAGTATAATGTGTTATTTTTACACGGAAAACTAGTCACACATGTGTGTAAAAACATTTTTTACATGACACTTTGCAAGTTCTCACTCTCTCTTCTTTTTCCAATAGTCATGTAACGAAATAATGTATCTAATATATAAATTAATAAATTACCAATTATTATCTATTTGTTAATTTTTATTAATTCTAATGTCCTCTTTTAATACAAATTTTTTATTGATAAAAACAAAAATTTTTTCTAAGCAATTATATTATACTGAAAAAAAGATGTATCAGTCTTATTTTAATTGAAAATAATCTTGATTCAATAACAATATTAATAAAAGGAATAAAATTTTATTAAAACAAGAGCATAACTTGTTTTAATAATATATTATGTATGAATTAACAACATTATTTTTAATTAAAATAATGCTGTTGATATAACATCTTTTTTTTAGTGTACAATTTATGGCGGAACATCCAAGTCTAAATAAATTCTCCGAATAAATTAATTCGTATTATCGTTATATTTTATATCGAATTCTTTCTATCAGAAGAACCTAAAGTGCGCTTTTGGAAATGTTCTCCCGCGGCTAAGTACGCACAGTTCTCCACAATTCTGTTTCTAGGCACTTGGCGAGTTCTCACTCCCTCTTTTATTCCTCCGATGATGTCGCCGTTCCCCCTCTACCGAAAGGGCTTTTGTATCGCCTCTCTGTCTCCAGCACTTCCTGTGTTCCGCCAACACGTTCACCTGTCTACCGTCACCTGCCTCCGCGGTTACCTAGGCGTACACCGCGTATGCCCCACCGTCGAGCGTGATATCCCGAGGGACCTTAGTTTTGCCTAGAACGCGGTGGGGCCGCGGTGCCGTGGTCTCGTCGTACGCACACTTCGCACATATGTACATACGCGGTAATGCGACCGCACGCGATTGTGCAGTCGACTTTACGCTGTCGCGCGACTGCGAACGCACGCGAACGAGTCTCCCTCGTCGTTCCGATAAGCAGGGACATTCGCCGGACCGGACGAGGGCCGGACGATAGATAGATCCAGGTTCGACGAACTCCAGGCGACGCGCGACACATCGCTTCCCCGAACAGTCTCGCGGCTATTTCGTAAGAAACGGAGCTCCGATCTTGACGCGTGTCACGCAGTGCAATGTGTTGGATCTGCCGCTCCGGATCTATATCGTTATTCGTTCGAGAAGGGGAAAAGAAAGAGAGAGAGAGAGAGAATATCGTGATTATACAATATTCGATTGAACGCTCTTCACGATGCAACGCTCTTCCGATTCATTCACATCGTCCGATTCATTGAATCTCGGAACTAGGCATTGATAGTTTGATAGAAAGTTCGAGATCAGAGACAGAGGGACCAATCTGAGGGGAAAAATGAGTTTGAGGTAAACTCGTTTCTAACCGAGGGTGAGATTGAAGGGAAGCCTTGGAGACAAGTTCAAGGTATTCCAATCCGGTCACCGCGGGAACTTCGTTATTACGCTTGACGATTTGCGCGATACCACCTGTCGACGCTATTGAACTGTTGAAGGGCAGTGGTGTTCGTCCGTCTTGACGCCGCCTACTTTTCATTCCTGGACTTGGACAATTGACTTATAATGTCAACCAGATATTTGAAACGGTAAGTTCGCGAACAATATGATTATTCGACGACTGGAGACGCTGTGCAATAAAGTAGAGATATTATAAAAGTATATGTATTATAAACTCTTGCAGAAATTTAATACTGGAAGGTAGTAATTAATTATTCATTATAAATAATAGTGTTTTAATACTTAAAATGATTAATTAATCGTTATCTTTCAGTATTGAATTGGAGTTCTGTTTGTAAGGGAAGTATATATTTATAAAGTATATTATAAATTTATAAAATGTATCATTTAATAGTGTTCTGAAAAAAACGGTTTATTAACTTTTTTTATGTGTAGTACGATATGTTTTCTTATTCGTTAATCAGGAACCGTGTTAAATGTTTAATTTAAGAGTAATAACGTGATTTAACTCTAGAACTGCCGATGGTATTCCGCTAAAACTATCGAAAGTGGCAATTTGGTAATTTAATTCCTATAATCTTTGTTTTCGGTTAGTGAAAAGTTTTGATATTATCTATATCGTTAGAATTATTTATATTATATTCACACATTTTCAATATTTTGTACTATATATCTAATATAAAAAAGAAAACATTGAAATAATTAGCAGAGTCAAAATTGCACCATCAGTGGTCCTAATGTTAAGAGTTTAGGGCGACCGCCCTCCCACCTCAACAACGTTCTTAGTTTATTTAATATTTTCTATCAATTTCCGCACGAATTCAATAAATGTTTGTGCAACAAAGAGTTGCGGTATATCGGCATTTTCGCGCGGACGACTTCGTGAAGTCTTAACTTTCCCTTATCAGCATACGCAGTGTCGTGCGTGCAGAAATGGTGTTTCTTACCGCTCGTCCGCTCGATGAAAGAGCTTCATTCGTAGCGCTCTGAAAGATGACCCTAAAGCTTATCAGACTAGAGAGTGATAGCGAATTCGATTAAATGCACTCAGTGCGCACTGATACATAAATTGATGTAAAGATGTGTGTTTCATATAAATATAGAAACGGGTTAAACCGTGAAGTTCTCAATACTTTAGTGTGTTGTACATATTTTATAATTCGAGAGAAATACTTACATTTCACTCACAGATTAAATCAGTGTATAACGGCTTTAATATACACCAGTACGCACTAGTATTATACGTCCAACCGAGAATTCGTTATAAGAGATTCATTCGCGTTGCTTGCAACTTTTGCACTCAGCACATCTTCGCTTTCTTTTTCTTCAACTCCTGAATATCTATTTATCTCATTTTGAAAAGTTTTTGGGGATTACAAGCAACACGAATAGATCTCTTATATAGATCTAAGATTGAGAATGGGATTGAAATTTTAAACAAATAGAAGGACTCTTTATATAAAAATAAAAATAATAAATAAAGGGCGAAGTAAGAGTCAATACGTAAAAATTATAGTCCGAAAATTGGTGAAACATCAAAGATTGAGTCAGTCTGAATATAAAATATAAAATAACATTTAATTAAATAAATTGAGAAACACATAAATAAATTACAAGTTTCGGCTACCAGATTGAGCCCTCTTCAGATACCGTTTTACATGGATTTGATATACAATAAGTTCTTGTAAAAACGCATAATAAATCTTGTTCGGATGTAAAAATCTACGCCGTTCACATGCCATTCGTGATCAACTCTTGAAAATCTAATCACAATACAATATAAAGTCACATTACAATATAAACGTATAAATTCAAACAATAATAACTTACCAAAAGGCATGTGTAAATTACTTTAAAATTTTTCCATAGAAAACGGTTGTATATGGTATATCGGTATAAAGCGAACATTGTGCGACAATTATAATGTACTTTCTTACACATCCGGTTGCCGATACAGATCAACACATACTGAGAGATTGAAATTATCCAATCAGGAGAAAGAAAACCAATATCGAAGTAACCTTTGCTTTGATTGGTCAAATGCAAATTCAATCTCAATCTTAAGTCTGATACGGGCTTCAGCGATCCTGATTATACAATTAATTCGGTTCATTCGTGCCCGCGAGGAGTCAGGTGATTCGTCAGCGTCACTTCGAAGTATCCTCGCGAATGCGGGCCTCGTGATCCGGGCATCGTTTTAACGCACCCGACCGTATGCTCCACGCATGTATCTACGTAGGCACACTCGATATAGGCATTCTGTCGATCGAATTGGGCGGTAATGCGCCGCGCTTCGGTGCAGCTGCCGTCGTCCAACATGTTCTGGAAGTTGTCGACAGCTGCGCCGATTGCTCTGCGGCTGCTCCAATTTTCTGGCTTTAGAATGATTCGATTAGAAAAGGAGAAGAGACGGTGTTAGGACTGCCGGGACATAACACAAAAAAATATTAAAACGAGTCAACAAGCTGTTGGCATGCAAAAAATATAATTTGTCTTATAATCAGAACAAATGGTATTACGTTTTTATCTCGAGTTCTCGATTAATCTTAACTTCAGAAGACTGATAACTTATTTATAAAGAAAAGGGAATCTTTTTTACAGATATATTAGATAATATTATAGATATTATTTGCAATTTTAACGTGATTTATTTGTACAGATATATATGAAATCTAATTTTTAATCTCTTAATATCTCTCTCTCTCTCTCTCTCTCTCTCTTTAGTTTCTTCATTGTGTATAATAACAGCTATAACTTCTTTGAAAATAGTATTGCGATTGAAATGAAAAGAAATATTCTATTCATTTCAAGGTCTGAGATAAACGAATAATACGTCGAAGATCCGACATTGTGAAGAATCCACTAACTTATCTAGTATGAAACGCTGCGAAACTTTCCTTTCACCTGGCTGTTTTGCGACACGAGTCTTCCATTGCGCTTCCACGCTAGCTATACTAATGTCGATTACGCAAGCGTAAATAATCGCGAGTGACCGTGTAAAAGTCTATATGCAGATATAGGACAGGAATATAATTTATTCTCTCAATTTGTTTAGTACTCGAGAGAAGATAAAATTATTTCAAATCTGTCATAAGTTATACGTATCAGTAAAAAACTTAAACGATAAAATCAGATAAAACTATTCGTTTTAAACGAATTGATTGTATTATTATTTAGCATTTGGCGAACAGTGATACGGTGATTGAACTTGTGCGATACATATGTATTTACGCATTATAACAAAAGTAAAATTGAAATATCATGAAAAGAAACAAACGTCATGCGATATCGCAAGTAAATGTGAATTCGAAATATAAAAAATTGAGGTTTAGAGATCAGTGAATGTACTATCGCTTCATTTGTTCTTATTGTCGAGATACGTCGCACAACATCCATTACGGATGTGTCATAAGAGAGCAGCGAGCAGATGTGTGGGCAGGGTAGGAAGTTTAGTTTTACACAAGAGGCAGCTGAAGCGGACACAGATGTAGCCAGATCTCTTCGTCTTGAAAAGGAGGATGTTTCTTTTCTCGCGACGATGGTAGCTGGTTTCAAAACGGAGTTAAAGATGCGGGCTTCTCTGTCATAAAGTAAATTATCACAGTCACCGATTATTTAAGGAGCAATTTGTTCATAACGAGATTATCAAAATAAAACGCTAATGTAATATATTAATTATATCATAAAGGAAATATAAAATATAATTGAATTGGAAAATCTATTTTATATTATTATTATTTTTTACTTAGGAGAGACAGAATGTTTTTTATATGATTAAACTGGAGGCGAAATTTGTAAATTTGTTTCAGAGAAAAGGAATAAATGGACATAATTCTTTGTAGATGTTACATTTAAAGTTTATTTAGTTATTTTGCTATATTTAAGACTTAGAAAATTATTAATAATATAAAATTTGTTAAAAATATAGGAGCTGCTTGTCATTAAAGACAGTTTCGAAAATTTCAAGTTTTGCTATTTTTTAATTTTCTTTAAAACACTTTGCTCTGCAGATTGAACCTAAAATAGACATTAGAAAAATGATAACAATAATATTACAAAATGGTAACAAATTAGTATGACATCAATATTGATTAAAAAATTAGAGTTTTATGTTTACATTGTTATTATTTTGTAAAAACATTTTTCTAACAATTTATTATAAATGGCATTTAACTTGTTGTATCAAGACTCGAGATAATCCGCAAATCGCATAGTTTCTATGAAAAAAATAATCGGAAGCCTCAAAAGTATAATTTGTACATCTCAAAAATAGTAGTAAATCATCTAAGTGGAGAATTGTATTCATTTACTCCTTTCCTAAATAAATTCACGTTTAATTTGATCCTACAAACTTCCTGGCCCTCTAAAATATAAAATCATTTCTTTCATATTAAAAAAATCACGAAATCAATTAAATACAATCGTAACACAATATTATGGCGAAAGTAAAAGGATTAGTCTAGTTAGAAGCTTAATATACGATATATAAACACGTTGAACAATACACACCCATTCGTTACATTTGTACAATAAATATACGTGCTTACTAAACATTGATTATTATTCTAATAAACTGTGAGACAACGCAGAGGTACGGCATTTGAAGTATGCATGTCTAAAAGACGTCGTGAAGTCGATTAAAGGACATTCTAATCACTGACGTGCTCTAGACCATCTTTTAGCCTTCCGTTGCTATGCCGGTACGGCTGCGTTTCCAGCTGCGTTAAAGAATTTACTACGACGAAGGAGTATAAAAATCCGTAAAAGAATCAGTATGCCGAGGCAGGAATTAGGCGGCCGGTGTGCAGCCGACGTGAGGCAAAAGGCGCAGGAGGCGCCGGAGGAAAGCTGCCGATCACCAGGCAAGAAGGAAAGAGAAAGAGAGAGATAGAGAAGGAGGTTCGCAGCTGCTATGACAGCTGCACGCTTCCCAACATTACTCCCCGGACGATGCGCGTTCCGTTCCTATCCTCCGCATGTGCTCGATCCCTCCCATCGTCTTGCCAGGTGCTCCTCGTATCGCCGACGCGCTTCGACGAGGCACCACCTTTGTATCCCGTCTGGACACGGGACGTGTACGAGGACGTCGACGAAAATCCCTACCTCAAAAGAGAAAACTCCGATCTAGTTGCGATCTCGCAGCAGATTGCTCGCGCACGTTTCACCTGCGGTCCACGTGATCGAAAGACAGATGCACGCGGCGCGAAGTACAAGCGCATGCGATCGGCAAACGATTGAGTAATATATAATGTAGTTAAATAATCTACCGATTACAAAATACTATCTTTTCTTTCTATACTATCGTTTCTTTAAATATTAGGTATAAAATAATATCGGAAGGTGTTTTTATATTAGTAGCCCTGGTGAAAATTTTTCTCAGAATTTTTCATATAATTTTTCAGAATTTCTATATAATTTTATAACTTTCTCACATTTTTTTTATACGAATTGGCACACTTCTCAGAAAATCTACATCTTTCCTCAGAATTTTTCATATATGTTACTTATGAAATATCGTAAGATTTCTAAAAGTCCTTGTAAGTATAATTTCTGATGAAATGTTATAAAATCTAAAAAATTCAAAAATACTTTTTAAAAATTATGGGATGAAAAATTTCAGAATATTTCAAAATTCACTTGTATTAAAAATTCTGAGAGATGTAAACTTTCCGAATAGTTCTAAAGTATAAAAATTATAAGAAAAATTTCCACCAGGAAGTTGTTAGCTTAAATAATTTCGTTCGATACAGAGTTGAATTGGGACATCGATATCTCTTGACATTTAAAAGTCCATTACAGACAGTAATTTGTTCTACATCAAGTAATAAATAACTCTTCTATAAGTATAATGTTGTAAAAACACATCATTCTTCAACAATGTCGCAAAGTTAAAGTTCCATAGATAATTAATGGAACACAAACAAAATTTTAACTCGTCCAAAAATTTCACATCACCCACGGATATATTTCACTATCGCTTTGTTTCATTCTTGTAGTCTGTCATCTGTCAAATATAATTTTTATATCACGATATGAAAATCCATTCCTAGAGATTAGCGTTTCCAGAAAAATACTGATATATCTGTTAATTATTTTATTTACGCAATTATCAATTATTTTATTCTCAATTAAATGTTATTTATTATTAATTATTTCATTTATCTTCGTGCGAAACCTTTCTCAAATTCGCAAAACGGTAAAAGAAGTAGAGAGCTAGACAAACAAAAATGTTAAACGATACAGGACTATAATAGCGATACCTAATATTGGCTACGTTTACACCGTGCGTTTAGTCCGCGACCTATACGATAGGTGTCTTTATTTAATATACAGGCTAAACAAGGACATCTATTGTATAGGCCGCGGCCTAAATGCACGGCGTAAACGTAGCCATTAATCGTTACGCTCCCAAAGCGACTCGAGAAGCAACGATGGCGAACGCTCGGCGAGCGAGACGCGTGTGCGATACGCCTAGATATTTATTCGACCGCCGAACGGCTTATTCGGCTTCGTGATCGGTAATCCACACGAACCCGGTGATCCACGAGCGGATCGCTTTCTCGATTGTCGGGAGAAGATTTGGAATGGCCGGTCGCCGGCCAAGAGAGCCGCCGCGACTTCTTCCCTTCGCCAATTATCGGTGGGGGGAAGGTCGAAGAAGGCCACAGCTGGGTTAGATCCAGTCCGCGCACAGTTGAATGCAGTTGAATGCACGGTGTGCATACCGGGCGGCGATATAGGTCCGGCGATGTCGTTATTCCCCCCCACCTCAACCCTTCCCTTTCACCCCCTCCCTGCCCCGCCCCCACCTCCGCTCGTTACTTCACAAATCTGCAGTTGGCAACACGTGCGTCTCTCTCCTTTCTGACCGTCGTCGATAGAGCCATAGAGCTCTTTGTCTCCGAAAGAGCTCTATTCCGGTATCGAAACGGAAATCAGGCTCTTTTTTAAAGGCTTTTTTTCACACGGTGAGTTTCTTTATAGGTCGGTTTTTTTATACCTGCACTAGACCGCTTTATAACTCTTTCTTGCATTCAAATATCAAACATATACCTCTCTCAAGGTTTGAAAAGTGTACACTTCCAAAAGTATACACTAGAGGGTCGATTCTGTATTTTGAAACAAGGTGAAAATTACAAAGGTGAGCAAATTTACTAGGTATTGACCAATGAAATTATAAATATTCTAGTAAATTCGCTCACTTTTGTAATTTTTACCTTGGAGCTTATTACGGTTTTTGTGACGAAGTGAAAATTACAAAAATGATTAAATTCACTAGAAGTTAACCAATGAAGTTATAAATATTCTGGTAAATTCAATTACTTTTGTAATTTTCATTTCGTCACAAGGAACCGTAATAAGCCCCCTTAACTTTTGTTTCATCTTAATTTTCACCTTAACTTTTGTAACTTTCACCTTTCAAAATACAGAATCGAGTTCTAGTTCAGAAAACAGATTTTTTATATCAGGAAATTGCGTAGTTTCTCGTGAAAATTTCTCATCGAGAGGAATTAAATGGAGGGGATAATATTTTAACTGATAATTATCCTTTGTAACGAAATTAAAAAATAAAAGATACCTTAATCATCGTGGAATGATCTAAGCAAACATTTTGAAAGCCACTCTCTGCAGGTTTGTACAGGATCGTACCTGTTCGCCATCTAGAAGAAAAGAGAGAGAAGGAGAAAGAGAGAGCGCATTCCTGTTTTACATGCACATGCTCCTTCATTCACGACCTGTCTCTCCCTCCTTTTCACTTCCCGACAGTGTTCTTCTCTCAGTTGTCATGTTTCCCCTAGTTATCTTCTCTCAAAATAAAATTCTATTTTAGCGGGGGTGGATTAATCTAAAGACCAGTTTTGTCAACATCTTTTAGTCTTAATCAATCCCTTTTATCTTTTATTTCTGATCCTACAGATAAGATCCTAAACTAACTATATCCAATTTATCAACGTAATCTAACACCGTTTACAAAAAAAAATCTAGATCTATTGAATTACAATTTACGAAACAGGTCGCTCTGTACAGAACCGCGCGCGCGATCGCCTTCGTTATTGATTGAAGTCATTCATCGTTTCAAGTTCCCACACTCTTTTAGGAGAGATTTCAGGAAGTTACGGAGGATAATGACTGCGGATAGACCGAGAAACTGGGAAATTACATTCGCATGATCGCATCATGCACCATCCTTCGCGGAACCAGTCTCCCGGTCGCTCGAACGGCTCTTCTGGCTCGCGACCGATTCTTCCCCCTTCTCCTCCATCTCCTTCTTCGCTGCCTCTTCCTCTTCCTCCTCCACCATCAGTATAACCACCACCACCACTACTACGATCGTTCTCGTCGTCCCCATCGACACCATGATGGGGTCCAGAGGAGTTGCAGAACTAGTCACAGCCTGCGTGTCAGTCCATCAGTAAACACGGTCTTGTGCGTTGCCGAGCCGAGAGGAGTACTATCGTTTACTCGAGCAGATTCACATTTGGCTAGTTTCTTGAGGTTTACTTGGAGTCGAGTTGAATTGTACTGTACGGGCAGGCAACTTCCTGTCGAGTGTCACGACCGCGACACTCGAATCAGCCTGAGTCACGAGATTTCTCGGGAAACGATCGCGAATAAAAAGTGCGAATTACTTGGGACCGTGGGAACGCGATTTAAATATAGGAAACAGGGACACGAGCCATGTCCCTCTTTCGCGAGTCGCGAAACTGAATGGTTTCCAGTGGTAAATCCGAGTTATCTCGGTTGCGCGAGTGACGTTAGTGCCTTTAACGTTGAAGATGGTGCGCGGTCTGTCGCAGTGGACCAAGACCCTGAGCTTTCCGGCGAGGGTGTCACCTCAGAGACCTGCCAAGGAGTCCAAGGTTTTTCACGTAAGCCCCAGTGCTAGCCCCACGTCACCGCCCAGCCCGATCAACGACACCATGGACAAAGCACCTATAATTACCGATGAGGTTTGACACATTTCTTTTTATGTTTTTTTTTTTAATAATTTTTTTGCCTTTTTCTTCTTTTTGGCTTTTCATTAATCACTTGTAAAGTATTATTAACAGGACAATAACAATGCTTTCTTAGTTCAAAATAACTAATATTTCCGTAGACAACTGCTGACGATCGATCATAATAAAAACGACACACATTTATAATAATTTGTGCGAATATGTTTGACAATCACAATTTTATCTTCATTTCGTTAAATTTTGTTCTTTTTGTTATGGCCATTTTCGTAATGTAATTTCCGTAATAATGTAAAACTACGCACGGAAAAAGAAATAGAGAACTCTGTTATAGAGATTAAATTGCGGTTAAATCAACGGAAACGTTGGTTTCCTATATATCAACGTCATTTCCGGCGAAGACATCGGGAATATATAAGTTTACGGTGATCACGTCGAGACCGTTGACTCCAAGATGCGTTGCAAGAATCCCGCGCCAGGAGAACGGTTCTTCTTGACAGTCGCGTTTCGATATTGTCGCCAGATGCTGCGCGAACGACGACGTCGACGTCGACGACGATGGGGATTTTTCTTCGCGCTCTTATACGATTCGTAGAATTTCGTGCATGAGCACCCGGTGCTATCTCACTGGAATAAAATGCTAGCTGTAAGGCACGACCGGCGAGCAGCGGAAGCGTGGGAACCAAGCGTAACAGATGGCCTCGACCGCTTCCGAAGTCGTTCGACCTCTCCTCCCGTTGCTTCTTCTCGCTCGATTCGATGAACGGCGATGACGCGAAGTATTCGGTTAAAAGAACCCGAGTATTTCATAATTGACTTACTTACCGCAATTTCCGGATCCCGGATTCTGAAAAGAATATACATTAAATTGGAGTTAACTGATGTTAAGAGATACAGCACCTTAACAAAGTGAGTGAGAAAGTCTCTAAGACCTCAGGATTTGAGTTTTAACTTTGAACTTTTGTTCAGAGTGTAAGAATTAATAAATAATTAAAAGTGTTAATTTCAAGGCAATAATCTTTTCTTTCATTATCTAAATAAATTCTCTGAGACTTCAGAGTTTGAACTTCATCTTTGAATTTTTGTTCATAAAAAATTAATGAATAATTAAAAATGTTAATTTCGAGGCAAATATCTTTCTTCTCATCTTCGTCTAAAAAAAATTTCTCTGAAGTCTCAGAGTTTGAACTTTAAATTGTCGTTTGCATAAAAATTAACGATATTTTTCATAATTGATTTTTATTCATCTGAGCCGTTTCTTTATATTGTTAATTTTAACGATATTAATTTCAATGCGATAATCTTTTTTCTAATTTTGTATTTAAAAAATTGAAAAAAGATCATTTATCGTCGATTCTTCAGTCAAAGAACTGAATCTAACAAATCAAATTCAAAGTTATATTTTCTATGACTAGATGATCGAATGTCAAATTTCAAATTATGTCTGAAGATTTTCACCGGAAAAAATCCTGTTCAGAATTATTTCTGAGTTTTAAATACAATACGCTGTTCTTTCTCTATCATGTTGAAATGTATGAGGAGAAGATATAATCGTTGTATAACGCAGATTAACGAATTTAATGAGGTTATTAGAAAGTAGGAAGATGCATCTTTTCGCGTTCTAGGGAGAAGTTTCTTAAACCCCCGATATGCTTGATGGTGTATGTCTTCACTCTTCGTTCAGTTGCGAACGCGCGTTTCAAATCCAAGAGAGAGCGCGCACATCCGCAATCGTCGCGACCTTTTGTGGTTCCCCTCATGTCATCCTCCGCTGCTCAGGAATGCGAGAATGTGAGATAACGCCGAACGACGGTTACGTTTAGTCCAACGAGCAGTATAATTATGGTGTGTTATATTAAAAGCTCTCGGCTATTCTCTGTCTCTTGTCCCTGCTCTTCCCATGACGACGACGACGACGACGACGACGACGACGGTGGCATTCTCCGGTTGGTCTACGCCGGAAGTGGCGCGGCTTCGCGTTCTCCTCCTCTTCCTCGCGCATTGTTCCTCGCCGCGCATTCCACGACGATGAACTCCGCCGTTCGAGTGAACGAGAACGTTACGCTCCGCGGCAACTCGCTCCACGAGGGGAAGCCGTGAACCTCCGTCCGTTTGCGAGCATCCTATATCGCACGCAGAACCCGCTAAAGCTAACGTAAACAATCACCAACTTTAGCGACGCAAATGGACACGTCTCTTGCCTTGATATTCTCCATTTACACCTTTTTCTGAAACAGTTCTGCATACAATTGTCTATAGATTTCGCATGCACGCGTGGAAGAAATATTGGAATAAAAACTAGATTTTTCTTCGTAAATCGACCTACACTGAGAGGAAAGTTTTTGGTATTTGTGACCATAATTACATCATAATATCATAATTATGACAGTTATCATTGCTATAATATTAGTATAAATAATAATTATATTTACAGCTTTATAAACATATATATATGTAGTTGGTATCGAAAATGACTAACTTATAATTAAATTATGATAATTGCAACCATTTTTATAATATATGTATAGTCATTTTCAGTATCAACTATATATATATTTTTATAGAACTATAAATAAAATTATTACTAACATTATAACAGTAATAACCGTGATTATGATGCCATGTAATTATAATCACAAATACTAAATTTTCTCTCACAATTAGTATAGTTTATATAAATTGTACCGTTGAGCACGAGTCTATCTGAAAATTCTACATATATTGAAGGACGGATGTATAAAGAAATCCCATCTGAGAAATATTCTCAGGACATACAGGACGTTCTCTAAAACGTCTTCAGGATGTCGCTGGGAGATTTATGATAAGATTATATTTCTTTTAAAAGAAAAAAGAAGGAGAAGCCGAATAACAAATACATATTATATATATAGGATATATAAAGAATACAAGATAATATAAGATTATGTGAGATACAGGAATTTGAAATATTTCTGAGAAGTATAAAAATTCGGAATGTGTGTCATGAATTATGTAATTTCTATTTACATCACATCAAACTCTTTTTATATCACAATATTCAATTCTATCTGTGAATGATGTATACATTTCGAAGCTAAATAGAATCGAAAACATTAATTTATCAACAATTAATAATCTAACGGTAAAATAAAGTAACGGTCTCTCGAGCAACAATAAAATTGTTATATGCATGTTCAAAACAGGAAGGAATTGAAAGGATGCTTTTGCGTCAGTGCGCTTTGAATAGTTAAATCGACCGATTTTTATCACCTCGATATGATACTATTCGATTTAAGATTCGATCGTTTTTGGAAACGAGGAGGCGGAGATCAAACGCACGTCGCGTCGTATGTTAATTTTCGACCATTCGACAAGGTCGTATATGTCGGATCCGAAAAGAGATAGACGGTTATTCGAATGGAGTGCGAGTTCGCAACAGTCGATTCGTGGGAATATCTTGATGTCGTCAAGGAGAATGTAAGGTATAATTTTTATACCATTTACGTCATCGAGTCCATTTTGCAGTGGAGTCACATCAAAGACAGACGATAAGCAGAATACCTGAGAATGTTACCAATCAAAAGAATACAAGTAGCAATCAGATTTTTAATTTAAAAAAAATAGAATAATATGAAATAATAAATATCATTACGCAATCTAAACATGAAACAATCATGAATATTACATCAAGATGCGCTTGTTATTCTATACGGATCTCGATCTCAAATTGCGTCTGGTTCGTCGAGGTCAGGCAAGAGACAAATCATGCTGCGTAAATTACACTTACGATTGATCGTTTATGATGGCAATGACAGTGAATATTGAACATCGAACACATTCAACGCTGCAAGGCATGAAGAATAAGTAGAACATGCGAAGATCGATTGTCCGTTACTTTACCGTAACGTCATGCTTACCTGCTGCGGTGTTCAGTATTCTAATATCGGGAACCTAATACGATGTAAAAAGAACTCCATCCGAGGAGGGAACAATGGATGAGTTAGTAGAGCAGAAACTTTAGTTATATATTTATTATTATTGTTATTATTATTATTATTATTATATTAATAACTCTATCTCCTTTTTTAATATGAAATCCTCTCGGCTTCTTTAATATGATTTCATATATGTCTTCACGTTACATGATGTATTCGAAATACCGTGATTTATTCTTCGTTTTGTGTCGATTTACTTTGTAAGTGTAACAAATATCTCAGGTTCTCTTATTTCTTCATATCATGTCTCCGTTTTTTCTTTCTTCTAAAGCGTTCCAATTTCGAAGCGTTCGATATAAAGTATTCGAGCAGGATCTTGAAAGGGAGAAGGTAGGTTTGTCCCTTTCATTTCTTTTCTGTTTATATCTCACCGCTAGGCTGGTTGCGTTAGGTTCCTCGACCTTGCCGGTCATGCAGGTTTCAACTTCCAAGCACCTTCGAGCGTGCTCGCATACGCATTTATATACACCGGATGCATTTGTATACGAATGGTATAAAGGTTGATCGGATCTCACGATTCCTTTTCCTGAACTGACGTGCTATTCAAGAAAATAATTTTGACAAATAAGTCTAATAGAAAGATAGAAAAAAATGCCGAGAGAGAGAGAGAGAGAGAGAAAGAGAAATACAAAACTGTTAAAGTTTTTTAGTAATGTACGTATATCAATGTTTTGTTAATTATTTACTATTTTTTCACAATTGTCTATCAATCTGACATAATCAAAATATTTTTGGCAATCCTCTATGCATTTTTCTAAACTGAAAAATAAATAATTAACGAAAAAAAAAAATGATTATGTTGAACTATACTTATTGTATAGCAAATTATAAACTTCCAAACTTTTACGTATTGTTCTGACTGAACAAATTATGTTACAACCTATACATACAGCATATTTTATGTCAGAGATATTTCTGCGAACGTTCTTGATACATTCTCTTTGGGACATTCTCAGGATGTTCTTCAGAACGTCCCTTGGATATCTGTGCTATATGGGAATCTCATGTAAAAACAAAATATATTTTACATCGATCTATTCGCGAAAATAAGTTTGAAAACGCGGATTATGTACATCAATGATGCAATCGCTTGAACAACGCAACAATGGGTTTAAAGTATTTCTGACTTACACCTCCCACGTGGTTCTCTGCACGAGACAGTATCTCCCACGGAGCTACACCCCTGTTATCACTTTAGTATTTCGAAAAGTATAGCCCAGCCGGTGACATCCTCAAAAATAATTTTCCGATTATTACAAGTCAAATAAACTGCAATTTAAACAAATTGCATGAACGATTCAAAATAAAGAACTTCCGGTTTGCAATTCAAGTGGAATCGTCCTTAAATCATTAATAAATAATTCATGTTAATTTGTGGCAATTTGTCTATGATTTACTGAAATTTATTTATAAACAATATTATGCATTACGTTCTTTTATTGAATGAAAAATCTTCATGTAATTAAATTAAGTTAATTAAAATTAAATTTTAACTTTCTTATAAGTTTTAACATATTTTAAGAATAAAAAAAAATAAAATATTATTTCAAGTATTTTGAGGAAAAAGATCAGGGGTTCCTGAAGCGAGTTAACGGAACTTTGCTAAAAAGATTCTCTGAAAAGTACGAATTTTGATCTATTAATAATCCAGACGTTTAAATTCCGAGTTACGGTATACGCGCACCAACAGTTTTACGTTTTATGTTTCGGCAAACGACAAACAGACGAAGGTAAATAACATCTCCCTCGTCTCGGTCTTTTTCAGAACTTCCAAGACACGGAGGCAGAAAAGGCAATAATGGGTTCCATCGTGTACTGCATACATCACAAGGACGGTTGCAAATGGTCGGACGAACTGAGGAAGTTGAAGGTAAAGTCATCGTAAAAGAGTGCTTGGTATTACAGAATGAGAATTGTGTCTCGATGGACCAACTAAATTTAGATTTTGCTCTTATCACAGGCGCACCTAAATACGTGTAAACACGATGCGGTTCCTTGCGGCAATAAATGCGGGGCGATGATACCTCGCGTACTCATGGAGGATCATCTGAAGTATACTTGCGCTCAGCGTAGAGCTCGTTGCGATTTTTGTGCCAAAGAATTTACCGGACACACTTTAGAGGTATATTTATTAAAAACAATAATTATATAATGAAATTATGTCATTATTTTGAATATTTGATAGTTATTTCTTTGCTAACTTTACCTCTCTTACTTGATATTTCATTTGTTTAAGCACACACAAGTCTTATTTAAGTTGTTTGTTTCTATAATTTCAAATATTTATAACTTCGATAAATTAATTTTATTAAATAAAATGGACTCTTTTTTTTAATTTGTTACTTCTATTAGACATTCCTTCAAGAATTATTGATTCCAGAAGGTAATTGTAAAAACACAATATTTGCAGAAACACACGGGAACATGCGGTTACGAGCCTCTTTATTGTGAAAACAAGTGTGGTATGAAGGTGCAAAGGCGACACCTCGGCCAACACAAGCTAGGAGAGTGTGCCAAGAGACTAGTCGCCTGTCGTTACTGTAACAAAGAATTCGTTTTCGATACGCTCGGCGCTCATCACGCGAAATGCGGTCGATTCCCGGTAGCATGTCCTCATCGTTGCGAAACCGCAGTGCTACCCCGAGAGGATCTCGAGGTTCACCTGAAGGATCATTGCACCACGCATCTACTTTCCTGTACGTTCAAGGACGCTGGTTGCCGCTTCAAGGTACTATTTTTTCGCACGTCATAACTTATATCCACTTATAATAAAAAGGTAAATAAATTAAAAAGTATTGAAACAGGTTTATTTCTACGAAATACAATACTCTGTGTTTAGAATGAGAAATTGATATGAAGGTCCGAATCTCCTTTTAGTCTTTTATATATCATACAAATATCTTAACATCACTCCGAAGTATTGTATAATATTTAATACGGAATATAAAAACATTTACTTTATATACTTTAATTTTTTTTGTATATTGACTTTAAATTTTTCTTCGGAAAAATTTGCGCTTTTCTCTTTTTCGAGAATGAGAAGTGATGAATGAATAATAAAAGACAAATTAATTGATCGATTGTTTCAATGAAGTAAATTCAAATTTTTGTAACTTTGGGAATTTAAAATTAAAAGTAAAATCTATAAACAGGAGTGAGAGTACAGCGCAATTATCAGTACGAAAAATAATAAAGTAATAATTTTACTCTTTTATTCCAAAATTTACGATGTCATCCAAATAAATTGTACTTTTCGATTTACTTTGGAGTCCTCATCAGCTTTGAATTACAAAATTAGTAAAATTTGTTAAATCTAGCAATTTGTTGATGGCTCAATTTTGACATGCAAAGGATGTACACTCGTTAATTTTGTAATTCAATGCTGAGGACTCCAAAGTGAGTCGGTATTATTTTGCATACGAACTGCGCTGTACTCTCATTTGCCCTGTTGGATTCATTCTACCTTTAATTTTAATATCGACAGTCCGTAACGACGTTATAATTGGAGTAATTTAAGAATTTAAATTATTTATAATTTGTTAATTTGTTTAAATGAGATCTATTCTCTCATTTATTATTTTTATTATAGTGTTACATCATGATTTTTCTGTAACAGGGAAATAGATTCTCGTTAGACAAACATCTGGAGGAATCCGCAAAGATGCATCTAAGTCTCATGTGCAGTTTGGTGACGAAGCAACAACATCAAATTACCAGCTTGAAATCAGCGATTAGCAAGCTATCGTTAAATTACACGGGCACGCTTATATGGAAAATTACGGATTATGCCGTCAAGATGTCAGAAGCAAAAGCAAAGGAAGGGATGGAGCTTGTTAGTCCACCTTTTTATACTAGTCAATATGGATACAAGTTACAAGTACGTTACATATACATATATATGTATATATCAGTAGTCAATTTTCGGCTTGATTTTCATTTTAACGTCCACTTTCTTGTTGCTGCATCTTAAAAGTGTAATAAAAATTGTATGATATTCTGCTTCAAGGTGACCCACACGGTTAATAATACTAATCAGTAATACTAATAATATGCATTAATATTTTTAGTATTTTTATAACCTTACATCACACACTATTATTGACAATATATTTCACTTTAGTTTTAGACATATTATCTATTGCATTGTGACATACTGTGACATGAATTCTAATAAAGCGACCCAAGGAGCACAATCTATATGGATAACAGTTATAGAAATGTTTATACGACTTTTTTTCTTTCCATTTTATTTATTTAGATTTGACTCTATTAAAATTAATGAACGTATATACACAGATTAGTTATGATAATAAGACAGATTAATTATGATAATCATAACCTGCGACTTTACTTTATGAAGTTATATACATAACGTACATAAAGTTATAATGTACGTACCGTTTTATAAATATACACATTATTTCAACGCAACAACGTTTGTCTTTGCAGTTGTATAAATGTCCTAAAAACCTGATATTATGACTCAAAAGTTGAATTGAAATATACGGAGTTACATAAGCGTTTTAAAAACTTGTAATGAGTATTATAAGATTGTTAACATATAATAAGTCATATAGACGTTACAAAATCTTAAAATGAATACTACATAACGATTACTTTGTGTAGAGTCGTATGGACGTTATATAAATTTCTAATGAATATATACATATATTGACTAAATGTTATGTGTTTATATAGACGTTTTAAAAACTACAAATAGTTATATAACCGACATTAACTTTTTAGTCGTATAATTTTTTGATATGTAAATGGTACAAACGTTTTATGAAGTTATAAAAACTTTCTCATAACTTTGTGCTCCTTGGGGATACTGATGCTCGAGAATTAAAATCCACTTCTTCATCAGTATTCTACGTCAATCCATTAACTACACATGATCAGTAATATTGCCAGTATTTGTTAATACTGATAGTATTATTTACCGTGAAGGAATCACTTTCAGAGTTGTGTGTGTCATAGTTACAATTCTATATAATACATATATGCGTAATTAATTGTATCATTCTTTCCTCCTTCTATATTATGAAAGTAAATTACATATTTGATTAAATTTATATCATTGTAATTAATGAGACAAAAGCCTTAAATGAAGTATTAAAAAAGAACTATTATAGAAATTATTATACAAGATTTACATAATTAAAAATAAAAAATGTAGTCACTCAATCTCATATATTATATTTTTCAGAGTGATTAAAAGTATAAATAAATAAGTATACAGAATAGAATTTCATTTCCTTAAGATTGCATATCTTGAGGATTTTCTGTGTCGGACATTTTTTTATGTATTTATATTGTCTGGTTAGTTGGCATTAAAAGATTAAATGTTAAGTTAATTCGCTAAAAAGATTTTTCGATTTTATAGGCTTCCATCTTCTTAAACGGAAACGGGACCGGAGAGGGCAGTCATATCTCGATATACATAAAAATCCTACCTGGCGAGTATGATGCGCTTCTGCGATGGCCGTTCTCGCACAGCGTGTCGTTCACGATGTTCGATCAGACAGTCATCGCGGAAAAGGCTTGCAACATCGTGGAAAGCTTCATACCAGACCCGACCTGGAAGAACTTTCAGCGGCCGAGTCGTGAACCAGACTCTCTTGGTTTCGGTTTCCCAAGATTCGTTTCCCATGAGATGGTGAAGAAACGACACTTCGTCAAAGACGATACCATGTTTATTCGAGTTAAAGTGGATCCTAGTAAAATCGTAGCGGTCTAAGGGAATGCATTAACGATTCTGAAGAAACGTTTCTGCAAACGGACATTATGTGATATTTCTGAGTACTCGCTTGACGGGACTATGGTACTTACGTCGTTTTAAATAATGCACGGTAGTTTATTTTAAATCGATTGAAAACGCAAACTATATTGCCACCTGTCTGCGTCATAACAGTTTTCATTTATTCACTCGTGTTATACTTGCCGATAATTGTAATAATAATTAATTTATTAACACTGCCAAATGCGTAATGCGCCAGAATGCATCAATTTTTTCAATTCCTAATTTTATATATATATACATATTATATCTATTATCTCTTGAGAAATTTTATTATTTAATTTTTTTGTGGTGTATAATCGAAATACGCAAAAACTTAATATTAATTAATACTTATTATTATGCGATATTTTGCGAGTATTTTCGCTATCTTTCTAATAATTTTTACACAAAATTGTATATTTTTGAAAAATCTAACAAACGAGAGTAGAACGCCTCAATTTTTCTAAAGAGTGGCCTTACGATCGCGCGATTATTTTTAAGGAGAAAAAATCAAAGATTGTTAAGGGACTGTCTGTACTATAAGCTTAGCAATGTAAATATAAATACGGAATGCCATACGATAATGGACAATGAATAAGAGCAATCGAGATAATCACCGATGTAAATACGCACTTATTATATATAGTGAGAAAATGTGATCGAGATATGCTAGTGAATGTATGTAACAGTATGAAAATAAGCTAGCTAATAAAAGCGTTATATAATATTCACATGTAAAATATATCGTGTACTTTATTCCCTATATCTAAATTATATTATAGTATATGATCCAATACGATTGGAAATATTAGATGATACATATCAAGAAATATATATAAAATATATAATTGAGTACAAAAAATAAATTATTAAATATAAAAATTTCTTGATGTATACAATTAAGCATAAAAAAATTATAAAAATATTCTCTCCCTCTCTCTATTTATTATGTCACAACAGCATTAATATAAATAATTGGATATTATTTTTCTTACGTACTTAAACTTCCACTTCCACTGCTCTGTTGGGAATTTACTTCATCTGAATTTGCCTATAAAGAAGCCATGCAAACGAGCTCGTACATAAAATAACTATTGCAAAACGATAAAAATTATAGTAATAAGAATAGATGATAATAAAATTGACAGAATTCTCTCTTGCATGTAAAGAAAATAGATATACCAATTTGAAAGCTTACAGCCATATACTTACAGATTGTATCCGCAACATTTGATCTAACGCATGTGGCAGCAGCGGACGAATACCATTAATTTCCATTGCAGTGAGATGATCCAGTCTCGCATGCACCCCTTCACTCTTCACAAAAGCATCCACAGATGTTCGTAATTTGGACATTCTTATGTCCCACATGTCCTAAAATACAATTATATAAGTTCTACCTTTCGTAAAAATATATCTCTCTTGTATTAGAGCCAGTAGATCCTACTCACCTTTACAGCAATTCTTATTCCATCTGCGTCAGGAATATCGTCATTTGCCACATTCAGCAGAATTTGACTCTCGTCCATATAATGACTGCTCGGCATCTCTGTAAACAACCTGGTACATTGGAATTTTCATGAATAGGTTTCATAGAATAAGTCAAATTACTATGAAATTTAATTGAATGGTCGCATTCCGCAGAATGTTTACTTTGCAACTGTTTGAAGTTATCTTTGTACTAATTGGATTATATTTTTAAGTCTAGAGGAATTGTATGTACTATTTTAAAGAAGAAAATTTCCAACAGTTGCAAAACATACTAAATTTTAATAAATAATTGTGTGACTAGTACTAATATAACATGTATTTTTGTGAACAATACACATCTGCTAAACAAAAAATAATAATCAAATCAAATTAATGATTCTTGTACCAAGTAAATATATGTTTACACTTAGTAGATATACAATTGGCATTATTCAAATATGAAAATTTAGTATATTTTTCTCTCACACAAGTAACAATTGCAAACAAACATTCTGCTGAACGCGGTTTATATGAAAATGCTCAGATGAGACTGACAGAAAACCAGAAGTCATAGCAGCTGACAAGTAATGAAAAGAAACTCTGATGAAGGCTTACTTGGACATCTTCTCCATCTCTTTCCTCTCGTTCAGACCCTCGATATCCATCCATTCTTGGCTGACGATACGGCACTTCTGCTTCTGCTTCAGACAGACGGCGAGCCAGATCGGCACCTTGACGGGCAAACCGGCGCGGAACGGACCCACTGAACCCGAGATCAAGTAAATTACGTTGGAGTTGAAATTCGGTACAATACTGACCAGCTGTTTCTCGCCGAGGAATTCAACCTCGCTCGGATTCATGCTTCGTTCCGAGCATCAAATCGATCGTTTCTCGATACTCGCGTGTTTAGAACTGTATCTCAGCGCTTCTCGACGCATTCCGAGCGATACTCGAACCGCTTGATCACCAATTCCAACGTGCTCCGGCTGACTCCAGCTGACTCCGGCAATCTGGCACACATGCCAACACAGGCTGACAGGCACGGTAAATCGAAAAAGGCGGGAACGCGCGTTGTTGTGGCCGTCGCCATATTTTCCCGCCACTTGTTGCGTTTCGAACTGTCAATCGCACCGGTAAATTATGCACATTCACTTTCGAATCGCGATAAGAAATTTATCTTGCAATGATAGGATAGAGTAAGGCTTTTTCGTCTATTTATTGCAATAATATTTATGTTCCTGAACTAAAACGAAAATATGAAGGGAACTTTTGGGAAATGTAAATTGAAGAAAAACAAACAGAAAAAAACGGATGATGTCCATTTCTGCTAGAACTATAGATTAATTTATTTAATATGTAGGACAAGATGCTGCAAGATGCAATTGACGAAAGTATATCGTATCAAGATTAAAAAGATTTTCATATTTTATAATATTTTTTTAAGAATTTTTTAGATTTTAGATTTATGAAGATTTTTGAAGATCAATCTTAGATTTAAAAAATATATCCAGGTAGTAAGCTAACTTTATTCATCGTTATTTGATGTCAAAAGGATATTAAAGACGTCATTTTTATGTCAAAATGACGACAAATAACGTTAGTTTGCCAAGTGCTTTCTTCAGATTTTATAAGTTTTTTTTTCGGAGATTATAGAATGAAAAATCTTAAAACATAGAATCTTTCAATCACGTATATATAGAATTGTAAAAAAAAACATATATATAGACCAAAATTTCTAAAACATGTCTCAATTCATATTTAAAAAATTTAAGAAATCTTTTAAAAAGTTATAAAATTATATAGAAATTCTGAAAAATTATATGAAAAACTTGAAGAAAAATTTTCGCCAGCTAGAAGAACTTGGGTGGCAATGAAGCATCGAATGCACAATATGGATTACACGCACGAAGCTTTAATGACATCGATTTCGTTCATTGGCAATATCGTATTACACAAGGTGCTTATTATACGCTAAAAATTCACATAAATTGTTATACACGTATCCTTTTCAACCGATTTTATTTTCTTATTCAAAATAAAATAATCGTCACAATATTTCCAAGATTTCAGAATCATAAGTTTTCAATAAAAATTATCTAAATTTGATAGAAACTATAGGATTCTTATATAATTTCAAGTTCTCAATAAAAAGTAACACAGATAATTTTCTGAGATTTAATATAGTCAACGCAAAAATAAATAGCTATGAAGGGCGAAAGAGAGAGAGAGAGAGAGAAAATGAGTATTAAAATGATTAAACTTATCGATCCATTCGCATAATATCCATCGCATGATATTTATTAATTTAACATTTCTCGCAGTTTTAATTAACAATAAACTTGTCTGCATTTCGGTAAAAAAGATGTGCATTTTTGATAGGACATATTAAAAAGAAAATTCCTGGTTAAAAATTTCTTTACTAAAATATTATTTTCTCTTAAAGCTTGCATCAGACTGATGTTTTATTAAACCAAAATTCAATTAAAATTGGTTAAAGTTTCGTTGTCTATCAATTATCATCTTTAGAGAGCAGTTCGTTAACTTTTAATAATTACGGGCACGGCTAATAATTATTTAATAGTATCTCGATCGATACTCTTGTTGATTAAAATATCATTTTAATGACTTTAGAAAATTATATTGATATACATGTGTGCCGTATGGGCATATAATTTAGTAAATATCGCGTATGAGAGTAAATGGGAGGAATGGCGCATGTTGATCATCTAGTTATGCCAATTACGATATGCAGAGTATTGCACAAGCATCGTGCAAATGTTCTGCGGAAATACGCGTGGATACATAATCACAATGTGCACTGTTCTATTGTACAACATTAAGTATATTTTCCCCTCTGCGTATATTCATCACTCTTGGCAATCCCTGTGTGAATCCCACACACGGCATTTTATCCTCGCCAGCCGTTCGGAAACACGTTCCTTTTTCCTTAGATGCTCTGGATAGAAGTTTCTCTTATCTGTCCTACTTAGATTTTATTTACAATATATAATAAAAAATGGAAGCCGCAGACGCATCACTCTCCGTTTGTCGCTTTGTCTTTTTGTTTGAGGCTTCAAATAGAGTATTACTGTCGCTCCATTTTAATGTTTAATTCATTTAAATTTACACTAAAACACGTGTGATATCAGCTATATGGCACACTCGATGAGTAATTAATTAATAAAATAAATCGACACATCAAGGAAGTTTGAAGAAAAAAAGTCTTTCATCTTCAAATGTCTTAGTTCCGTTTAAAGAATGTCCAGTTCTTTTCTCTCGCAATTACTCTACTAGCCACCCGCTACGTCGATTCTGTCCCGAGATTCTTCCAGAACCAGGAGATGATCAGGAGAGGCATGATTCACCACGTCAGCCTCGATAACGAAGATCGATGCGGGCGGCGTTTCCTCGATGCGGTCTTCCTCTGCGGGCAGAAGAGGTGCCAGCGACTTGTATGTTTGCAGTTCCATCGAGGAGGAAATTCCATGATCGGTCGCATCGTCGGCGCGGTCGACGATGTCGCCGTCGCTGGCTAATTCCTTCTCGTTCATCCATTTGTTCATCGGCGTGGAGTTGCTCATTAGAATCGCACCTCCGACTGTAATGCTAATGTCCGTAGTGTTTTGGCGCGTTTCTTTCTGTGGGATTAACGAGACACGCCTTTCAGAGTACGCGTCCATTCTTCTGTTGCTATCAATCACCTGTGACGACCAATTAAATAGAGATAAATAATAATAAGACGAAAACATAAGTCGAATCAAGTGAAGTAAAATCATTTAAGTAGATAAAATATCACCGCACCTGGCGTAGCAAGCTCGGCCTCTGACTCCTCGGTTGATCAAAGCCGCTGAATCGCCTCTGAAGCTGCCTCTGCGAACCGACGAGGGAACCCCGATCGTGGATCACACTGATCACGCTGGACTTGACATCGCTATGCGGGAAAAGCAGCCTCCAGACGAAGTTCTTGAGGGCGATGCGAAAGTCCTTGAGGTGGTAGGCGTAAAGGAGCGGATTGCCGACTGAATTGATGTGCGAGAGGATGATGCAGAACTTCATGAAGAAGTCGTCAACCTCGCACCGCGGGCAGAAGGCCATCACGCAGTTTATCGTATACAGCGGAAACCAGCAAACGATGAAGAAGACGACGATGCGGGAAAGATTCTGCGTGGCCTTGACTTCCCGTTTACGCGCAGCGCCTAGACAACGTAGCATTGTTCCCGTCGTCTGGTGATGATTACCGCCCAAGCGGCCACCGAGACGAAGGACGCCGAGACGGCGAACGGTACCACCACCTCCTGGATCACTGGGATCCATCGTGACGATTTGCTGTAGCTATAACCGTCGTATCCGTTACTCTCTTTGGCTATTTTCAGCTATTTTTTTGCACGATGCCTCCACAAAAATCTAATTTAATATACTGGCCAATTTATATACTATCCTTACTCCAAATTTCTTACAGTGAAATCTCACTCCAAGAAAGTGAAAATACAACCACCCTTGAAAAAAAAGTGAAAATATTTCATTTCTTGAAAAACAGTGACAATTTTCACTCTTTTTAGAGTGAAATCTCACTTTTTTGGGAGGGACTCCTTTGAAGTGAAAATTCACTCTAAAAAGAGAGTGAAAATTGTCACTCTTTTTCAAGAAGTGAAATATTTTCACTTTTTTTACAAGGGTGGTTGTATTTTCATTTTCTTGGAGTGAGAATTCACTGCAAAAAATTTAGTGTTCACAAAAATAAAAATCGGAGTGTAAATCGGATAAGGGGAGAGTAACAGAAGTGTAAACGAAACTCCTAGGAGAAGAAAATTGGAGCAAAACGTAAAAGAGGCATTTATGCTTCTTTTATTCATTGTTTCCATTTTCGCCCCCTAGAAGCTTCGTTTACTCTCTTTCTGTTACTTTCTCCTTATATCCGATTTACGCTCTGATTTTTATTTTTGCCAGAATAAAAAATGGTAATTGATTACATATTTTGAGTATTAAAAGCACTGAACAGTTTTTAATACTCAAAATACACAATTAATGAATACCTTTCAGTATTAGTCCTCCGCAATGTTAAAGAAATGATTTTTGACTGTGAATTCTGGCAAATAAATTTAGATTTGTGAAAAATAAATAAAATACAATCCAACTTCTATAAAATAATTCTTAACATTTTCACACGCTGTTAACTTCGTAATAACAAATTATATTCAATTTGAATTATTTTTAATAGTAGGTACTACTCGTATTTAATATATTCTCAATTTAATTAAAACAAATTTAATTCAAGAAACATCAACATTCACATGTTTTATAATATTAATACACTTTGACACATTTGGAAGTCAAACATAACAAAATGTTATTTAATTTGAAAAATTCATATAAATTTGATCCTTTTATTATTTAACACTGCATATAAGAATTTTTATATAATAATCTGATACAATATAAAAATCTGCACTGAAGTTTGAAGATTCCACATTGCGAACGAAGAGTGAAAATTTCACATTGCCGATGAAGGGTTAAATTTTTGTAAGGGCACCGCACTATCGGAATCTCTCTTTCATGCGACTGACCTGTTTCACGATTACTCGATATATGTGAGCGTAGAAAGCCGCGATCAGCAGTGCGGGGAAGATAATTGTGGCGAAGTACAGGAACACGAGGTAGTCGTAGTCCATGACGTTTGTGAAGATGCACCTGTGATCGTTCATCTCGCCGGCATTCCATCCAAAAAGCGGCAAGAAGCCTACCAGAGTGCCCGCTACCCAGCATGCGCATATTATACCTACAAACCGATTATCTTTTCTATTAATATCATTTCCTTCGGTCTCCATTTATCGCTTCACTGTCAATGGATCGACGCGCCATGTCGTCGTCACGTCGCGTCGTCGCGACAATTAGACGCGTACGGTCAAATGATTCGGATAATAACTCATTCGCGCGCATCTGTTCATTATGCATCGGTCATTCATCGCGATTAACACCGACTTCTTACGCTCTCCTCGGTTTCCACATTGACGAGGTAATTTTTGTATATATCCGTGGATACGGATATATAGTTTCTTATCGATTCGCTTGGTGCATTCCTGGAAAGAGGCACTCCGCTGGGAAATGCGCGTTATCAGGTGCAACGTAGGAACTGACATTTCAGAATAATTTGAAGCAGTCTAATCAGTTTTATATTTATCATTTATCTTGAACGATTGAAAAATTCGAAAGAAACAAACACTATATGCTGATAAATTTTGTATTTATCATTGGATTGCGTGAGTTAAAAGATGAATCTTTTATCGTTGGATTAAAGTGAATAATAAAAATATTTTGTTCACTCTTAATTTTTTAAAATTTGTTTAGACAATTTCTGAAAAATTTTGTAATACTTTTAAAATATATCGACTGAATTTTTATAAATATTTACTATAATTTATCACTTTGATTATCGCGTGCTCAATAAAAAGATTTAATTTGAGAGTTAAAGCCTTGCCATTAAAAGAATGTTCTATTTTATCAAAGAACTACGCACTGATCTTAGAATTAACATTGTATTGTATTATTACTTATATGTATAGAGAATAAATATTTACAAGATAATAAAGGATATATTTAAATGTGACTTTTCCGAAAAAATATTTAATGTTTAATATTATCACTGCTTACAAAACAATGTCTAAATATTGCTCTCTTACTTCAAAAGTGACACATTAAAATCAAAGTGATCATCAAAATCAATCCAAAAAGGACAATTTTTTAAGAATCGTGAAACAAAAACTACAAAAATGACATTTGATTATGTTCAGAATATATTTTTTTTATTATTTGATTAGGCAATAATTTTATGCACTTAGAGAAAAAAGTCGTATCAGTAACTATAAATTTGTAGTGAAATAGCGCCTTAACTATATACATATTATTAAATTCTAATAAGAATACTAGATTAAGTGAACTAAGAAAATATAGTACATTAACCATATAAACAATTTATAAATGGTTAATATTACTATATTTTCTTAGTTCACTTAATTTACTTACTGTTGTTATTAAAGCTTTATAATACATAGTTACAAATTTGTGTATGCATTTCTTATTTATTTTTGTCTTCCAAGTTTGAAACCAACGCTGCGCCTTTTATTGTAAGCGAGTGGTTTCCTTCTTAGAGAGGAGAAACTGAACTCCGCTACATCCCTCTGGTGACAAAGCCGCGTATTACTCGTACTGAGCGACCCTTTAAAAATTTTTGTCTAAACTAGAAAAATGTAATTGTTATATTTATTTGCATGAAGTCCAAGTAACTACTCAATGTAGTTGAGTCACTACTTCACTACCAATTAATAGTGCATACAATTTGTTACCGTGACTATATTTTTAT